AATATTTGTAATTTAATTTTTAACCCTGAAGAGAAAAATCAGGACCGAAAATGGTTTTTATGTGCTACAATAAAAATTTTTAAAAAATATTTTTTAAAATTCAAAATAAAAAATAACTACTTAAATAATTGTACGACATTATTTTGACTTTTAACTGAAGGATCTAAAGTTTAAAGTCCAGTCAGATCACTATAAAAATTATATACATTATTATATAATTATAGCTTTATACACATTACATATAAAATAAAAAATTCATATTAACTAATTGCCATTTTTCAATAATATACCCAATAATAATGTCATTTTATAAAACTAATTGCCATTTTTTTACCCGTACGAACGTATGTTCGAAGGGTATATTAAATTTGCCTTACCGTTTGTAACACTAAGAAATAATGCCCTGAGATATAGACTCAAGTGTATGTTTTTCATCAGCGTCGAATTCTGAGTCGATTTAGCTTTGTCTGTCCGTCCGTCCGTCTGTCCCAGCGATAACTCAAAAACTTGAGTTCAACAAATTTTCACAAATGATTTATTGTAATAAGTGCCAGAACCCTATTTAAATTGTACCCATGATCGGAGTACTGGTTCGGGTAGCTGCCACACAACTTCAAAATTTATTTAGCTATATCTCAGAAACTATAAAAGCTGTGGTATTGAAATTTTAGTAGGGCCGATGTGTTTGATAAAAGTCGTTGAAATTGCTTAGCTCCTTCTGGTACCTGCCGTATAACTTCAAAAGTTATTTGGCTATATTTCAGAAACTATAAAAGCTGTATTATTGATATTTCACACAAGCGAATATATTAGTAGGGGCGATGTGTTTGACAAACTTCGTTAAAAGTGCTGGGCTCTTTCTGGTAGCTGCCATACAACTTCAATAGTAGTTTGGTACACACAGTATTTTGAAAAACACAGTACTGAAATTTTGCACAAATTAATATGGTAATACGGCAAATTAAAGTCAGTCTGTCCCATAGTCAGTTATGGCATATTTATTCACACATGGGTTAACAAATTCGTAAGGGTATCACAGAGTTGACAAGGTCCTCTCTATTTTTTATATATCTAATAATATATATCTAATAATATTGGATTTATTAAAAAATACCAGCAAAATAAAACAATAAAAATCAATAACCTTAAATTTAATACGTATAAAGAGAAAACTACAGTAGGCTCGTCACCTACCTAGTAAATTCAATGATGTAAGAATTGGTTCATGGTTATCAACAATATCAAGTACCAGCCCTATGCTCTTACCAGGAGCGAAATAGGATAAAAAAAAGAATTGATTTAAAAATTTAAGAATGAACTTAGTTCTGACCCATAGTACCGTTTAAAGTGTATGTTGTAAAATGACTTACCCTAATTCGGTCCAAAAACTTTTTAATTTTTTAAATTAACTAGTATAAAACATTGACAAAAAAGTATAAAATTACAAAAAATAAACATTTAATTAAGTTAGTTTAAATTTATGCTCTGAAACTTAAAGTAACACTCAAGCGTAAGCAAATTTCTCTTAAATTTTAATTACAACATTGTCTCAAAAATCGAACAATTCATGTCCCCCAAAAACTAAACATTAATTTAAAACCATTTAGGAAGAGAGATCTGGGCTCGAAAATAAACTTATAATTGAAGGGGTTAGGAGAAGAAGGAATTAACTGACATTTTTCTCAAAAATCGTTTTTTGGCACTTTTAGTCTTTTCAAAACATTACGCGTCTTATACAAAAACTGTTTCTAAGTATTTACTTTATTTGAAAAATAAGAAGCATTTACTTAAAAAAAATGATTTTGCATTTAAAGTGCATGTATAACAACGGAATTTGATTTTTTTTGGAAATTAAGTACATGTCTAGAGATTAGGAAATCGTGAATAATAAAATAAGTAGTTGAAGAAAGACTATTTTCGGTATTACATATTTATGCATTTTCATGAAGGCAGTCATGTTACGAGTAATATATCTAACTTCAAAATTTTTGAGATTTTACTAGTAATTTAGTATTAACTTTGTTTTACTCACATCATTTTAAGTGAATATTAGGAAGATTAAATCATTATAATCAAGTATAGTATGTGCAAGTTTTCGATTTTTTCTCATTTCTCTGATTCTAAAATCCAAAGTGAGTCAAATTCTGATTGATTTTGATTCACTTTGGATTTTAGTTATTAATTATTTAGTTATTAATAAGAAATGTAGAAAACTAAAAATCTGAAAAGAAAGGGTGTTTTACTAAGTGGTGCCTACATTAAATTTGGGTAATGAGCTTGAACTTGAATTCTGTCTCATTAAAATAAGAACTACTTATCATTTTTCATTGAAAAAAAAACCTTTTGTGGGCGTATTATTTTTATTTTTTGGGATTAAAAATCAATGTTTGTTGTGACATACATATATTATACATTTTTCTTTGATTCATTCACACACAAGGTATGCGCGTACTTGCAAATAAATACACAAAATTTTCAAATTTATAAACGTATTTATTACTTACTCGTTTTTCTGCTTTAGTGACAATAGTGAAGCGTTTTTAGAAATAGATGAATTTTTTTTTTGTTAAAGTAAAGAAGTGAAAATGAAAATGGTGATTCATTAATTTGTAAAAATGAAGAAAAAAATGTTGACACTTATGATTTGAGTCTTTCGATTGCTTTAATTTTATCTTACAATATGTATAATATTATTTCCTTTTCAACTAGTTCCTTTATTTACTTTATTTTTTTCTTAATTTTTTTGTATTATTGTCACCTTTATTTTTCTGATGTTTATCAAATTGACCTGAATTTTGTTTCCAATAATGAAATAAATGTTTCAATCGAAGATTAAAATATCACATTATCCGTAGCCAAAATAAAATGGAACTTGATAAAAGGGAAATAACGTGAGGTTAACACATTATCCGTAAGTGTTTTAACTTTGAATTCACACTCTTTCAATTATAAATTACAATAGTTTTGTTAATTTAGGTAATCCATTTTCAAAAACTGAGTGGTAATCCTTAAACGGTCTCGTTCTTGTGCCAGAGTTCGCCAGTTTCGTGCGCCTATTCGCCTGGCATCGTTATCCACCGCTCCGTCTTAATTTAGGTTTCCCTGGTCAATTCTGGACCCTTCAGGTCTTTGTAAAAATATCTAATAAAACTTTTTTCTTTTCTATAAAAGGCTAAAGAAATAAGTTGCAAGAATTGATTATTCTAATTGGATTTTGATATTTCAGTAAATAAACTTCATTTATTATTTTAAAAGTGTTTTTTTTTAACCAATTAAACTAGGTGACGAAAATGTAGAGAGGTGTTAATGCACCGAATAAAGTCAGAATTGATAATGAAGTTATTGTTGACTTATTAGATTGTAGTTAATTTAAGCACACGTTTTATTTCATTTTCTTGTGACAAATTACCTTATGTTACGCACATTGCCAATTGTTAAATTTTGAATATTAATTTTAAAGAATTAAGTTTTATGTGTCACTTGACAGTATAATCAAGCAAATGTCATAAAATTTGCTAAAGTTCTAAAGGAATTTTTAAGTTTTTTTATAACCACTGCACAGATATTATAAATTTGAAAAGCATAATAGAAAAAGGTTAGATGTTAAAAAATTGTTCAAGTATGTTACAAATTTGCAAAATAAAATATTCAGTTTCTGCAAGTTTGTAGATATTCGTAAACTTTCAGTTTGTGTCTCAATTATAGAAATTATAGAAAATCTCCTACTTGAGAATAATGTTTTATCGCATTTGTATTAATGGAGTTTAATAAAATATGTACTTGATCTGGATACTTTTAATGGAATACCGGGTCAAATTGAAGCCTTTACAGTTATGACAGAATCTTTTGCGATGATAGTAATCAAAGTTCTATTAACCATTCTTCTATTGATTTTTTAATGTCTAACGCCGTTGTCGTATTGCAAATATAAACAATGTAATGTATTACTTAACAGAAATTATTTCTATAACGGAAAAAACTGAGAGTTATTCAATTACAAAATAATTTTATCTCTGCAAGAATGTTGCTATGAATTAGTTAGAAAAATACAATTTCCAGTATTCTGAGAATGCATTACTGTTTAAAATTCGTTTTTGTTTATGTATGTAAGTATATCGGCTAATTTATCTTTGTTTTTTAAAGTTTATTAAATTATTAATTTATAATTTTTAAAAAAGCTCCTTTGCATTACTAATGATTAATGACTCAAAGTTCAAGAACGCTCAATCTAATAATGTTAATATTATAGATTAAAGTCTTGAATATTAATAAACGAAAAAAATGTTAAGATGTAGCACAAACAAGAATAAAACTTTTATTTATTGTTATAATAGAATATCGGAAATTCCTCAAGGTTTACGAAAAGTTTAGACAATAATAGTAATGACAAGTAAAAACGTTTCAGTCGATCTAAAACGACTGAAAGAAACTCTGTTTTATTAAAATTTTCAGAACATACATATATAAAATGCAAGTGATTACACGTTCACAAAGTTTCATTAATATCTTTATTACTTTTGAACTATTACCCGAACCCGTTATTCGAATTCGAATTGATGATTACAATAGACTTGTCAATTGGCTGAAAAAAAGCAATTCGTAAAAGTTTAGTGGGGTTTGCTTTATTCGTTACACCGAGCAAGAATATTTATAACTGTTCATACCGCTCACAACTTCTTCAAATGGCTATGAATTCCATACCTAAGGTACACTTAATTTTTAGATTCACAAAAGTGCAGGGTATAAAAAAAAGTTTATGTAAGCTTTAACTAGATTTTTAATATGATTAGAATTTTAATGTTCTTTTTATGTAACCTTCTCAGTTAAGTATTTAAGTATTAAGAATTTTTAAAATACATACATAGCTATATTTTACTGGTAATATATTGAAATTATAATTTTTCTAGTTGTCTTTTATTTTTTTCTCTAAAATAAAAAATTTTTTTGTTGTCATTTACAATAAATTAAAAAAAAATTCTTGTTTTTTTTGTTCTTTGCAGATGAAATGATATTCAACAATTCATTGTTTCATTATTTTAATATTCGAACAAATTTGCCGAAATAAATGCCAAATTGAAAAAGGAGCACATTAAATTAGCAGAGAATACCTTAAATTTTAAAAATATTTTCAATAGCTTATTCGTAAGGCGAACTTCCAATATATGCATGTACTTCCATTTGAATGATCTAGTGGGACACAAAAAAAAAGCAATAAAATTTAATTTTTTAAAGGAAAAAACTAATACTTAATTATAATTACTTATAATTTTTATATGTATATGAAGATTATATAAAAATTCATGGTAACACTATAATATTTTTTAGATAATTCTACAATTTATTTTTACAATTATTCTACATACAACATTAATTTATATTTATAAATAAGAATTAAAAACAAAAGAAGAAGGAATTAGGAAAAAATATTTAATAAAAAGACTTAATAAAGTAATCGAAGAGACTAGAACTAAGATGAAAATATTTATTTGCAAGTAAAAAAAAAGCTAATCTAAACTGCATATTAAAGACTAAATAAAGGAATAGAAATTTCAGTCTAAGTCATTTTTTATAAATTTGCCATTAAATTTCTGATTGATTTTGAGATTGTGATTTATGAATGGAAAAATCAACAATTTGAAAAGAGCAAAGAAAACTAACGAAAATGAAAATTCTAATTAAAAAAATTTTTTCCGGCATAATTAAAAATATTGCTGCACTCCTTATATAATATATAAAAATTAAAAAAATATTCGCAAGGAAAGAAAATCAAAAGAGCAAAGTGAAAAAATGACGATTAAAAATAAAACACCATCTACCAGTAATGAAACATTGCAAAAAAATATGGATACAAATTCTGAAATTGATTCTAAATCATTTGACACCAGATCACCAGCTCATTCAATAGCTGCAACTGCATCAAAAATAAATGAAAAAATTGAAAATATTGCTACGAGGGACAATATGGAAGAATTTCATCAATCCAATTCACAAACAATTTCTACATGTTCAACATCTACAATGAATGGTAACACTTTACCAAATTCTGTTACAAAGTTTGCAATACCTTGTTCTTGTGCTTACAATTCGACATCAACACCGATTTGTCGTAATATGAATAAGTCTTGTAAAAATTGGTCTGTAGGTGGCGCTGCAATAGCTCTTGATGATTGCGGAAGTTCTTCACCATGTACGTCTGATTCACTTAATTCTAAACATTATCATCAGCAGCAAAAACAACAACAAAAAAATCAAAACAACCGAATTAATAGTAATAATGATAGAAAAAATATTAAAAGTAATAATTGCGGTAATTCTTTTCTAAATTCTACATATGGATTTAGTAATGGCAATAATTATAGAAGTAATCATAGTGGTTTTAATACACCAGTCAAAGGCAATAATAGTTCAACGAATGTTTTTAGTAATTCACGTATGACAACCAGTGTTACAAGTGATTCTAGCGCTAATGCAAATGAATGTCACAAAAGTAATGATAATAAAAATAGTAATGGTAATAAAAGTGACCATAATCAATGCTCATATATTAAATCTTCGTTATCGATGACTTCGTTACCACCACCAGATAATGACTTACAACAAAATAGTAAGGAGACAATAAAAGCAAAATTACATCTTGAAAGACCATACAATAGTTTAAAGGTAAGCAAATTTCCTTAGTTTTGTTTCTTTTTGTCCTGTTTTGAAAGATATCGCACAAGTAACGTTGTAACAAAGTTTTGACAAAGTTATGTTTCTAACATTACTTTTATTTGTTGTGTTAAATAAATATTTGTGAATTGTTCTGGCGATTGAAAATGATTATTTGTATTATTGTTGCATAAAGTTTAAGAATAAGTAAAATAAATACAACTGAATGATTACCTAAAGTCTAAATAAACCATAAAAAGTTAACCATCATTCTAATAATCTATTTTCTAAATTTGAAGTTCGAACTCTTTTGTTCGAACTTCAACCAATTTTAGCATTTTAATCCTATATATTTTACCAAATTATTTACGTAGTTGGGTCATTCTGCTTTTTAATATCGCTAATATAAAGAAAAATGCCTTTAGAAATAAAGCTAACACACCAAGCCAACCTATCGGTTTTTTGCAATTTTATTTAATGTTCTCAGTCAAAATATAAAATGAAAATTACTTTAGATGCAAATATTTTCGGAAAGTGTTGAGACAAGTATGTTCAATTAGGCCAGACATATTTGTGAAGTTTTTAAAGAATGGTTTCACAGATTCGAGTAATTGCTATACAACAATGAAAGGTGCAGGGTATAATTCAATCGGTTTATAACGACTGAAACGTTTTTACTTGTTTATTACTTATCTAATATTTATTAGCCGTATATACATATGTATGCCTATAAATATGCACATACAACGTTACATGTGATTATTTGAAATACATACATGCTATGATAATAGTTATTTTAAAATATAAATATGCGCTTGTTTTATTTGACACTTTTGTGCAAATTGTGTTTATATACATATGTTATAACAAAAATATGCTATGTGTGTATGTATATACAGGGTGTTTTGCATAAGGTTGCAAAATAATAATTTCAGGGATATTTCTTTAAGCAATTTCTAACATTATATCGATATACATATGTACTTGTTTTCGAGCTACAGATAAAAGTACTCGTTTTCAAAAATACGTAGAGTTTCTTCGAAATCATCAAGCAAATGTTGTACAATTTTGTCAAAATCGAAAGAAAATTAGGTTCAATTTAATTTTTGGTACAATGAACCATTTTTTTTCAAACACATTGTATTATAAATCTGACGCTTTGTATTATTTCATTCCATTGCTTACTTTAATAAGAAATTTTTTTGTTTCAATTCATTTTAATTAAAAGACATAAAAAACATATAGGTAAGCATCGAAAAAATTTTAAATACACAATTTGGCAAATATTTCGGTATTAACAACGTCGCAGACACAACACATCGTAAAATTTTTTTTTCAAAAAAAAAAAAAAAAAAAATAATGACAAAAATTGCCGAGATATTTCGTGTTTTTTTAAAAAATATTTAAAATTTTCACTACGGGTAGCTTTTATTCGAAAACTAAAAATCAGATTTATTGTTAAAGTTGATTGTTAAAATAAAAATCTATCAATTATCTTTTAAACAAGTGTCAAATTGGTACCTTATGTTGCACGACTCGGAAGTTATCAGCATTTATTTATCTGAAAAAAATTAGGAACCTTTTTTTTTAACAAAAACCAGTTAACTTGATCAAAGAATCCATTGCTGTTATTATTTGCAACCTTATTCGAAACACCCTATATATAAATAAATTTGTATAAATATATCTTAATTGAAAGTTTTCGCTTATGAGTTCTTAAAAATAAAAATAAGAAAACTTAATTTAAAATGAAATATCAAAAGTAAAAAATCATGTTAAAAAACGCGATAAATTAGAGACAAGGTTATTTTTCTGACATTTAAACAAAACCACATTCTTAAGTTAAAATCTAATTTTTTTGTAATGATATCTTTAATACTTGGCAAAAAGAATATGCTATTGGAAAATTTTGTTTCGTCCGTTCGCTTTCCTTTAACAGTTATAAGCAGTTTGAGTCATTGGTCTGAAAACAAAGTTCACTTATACGTTCAAAAAAATTGATGTGTTTGGAGTATTAACTTCGCCTTAACTTCGCGACTTAATACACCTTTTGGAGTTTTAACTTAAATTTGATTTTACTGATTTGTTCTGCAAAAAAATTTCGTTAATTTCCATAAAAAAATCGGATTTTTATCCACACTTTATTCTCTTAAAAAAATTTGCGCAAAAATGCTAAAAATCAAATAATAAAACAAAAACAGAAAAAAATTAAATAAAAATGATTCAGTGAACAATTTTCAGAGTTAATTTAAATTTGAAAATTACGGTAATACGATATACTTTGCGCTATTTTAATTGTACATGTACACATATGTATATACAAAAACTGTAAATTTCTTATAAAATTTTAACTTATTTATAAGCTATTCAATTCATATACTTTATTTTTTTTATTTTCTTTTTAATTTTATACAGAAAAAGCGCAACTCAGAACGTGATGTGTGGCGCCATTCATGGGGTAGTGGACACAGTCAAAGTTCATGTAGTTTACACAGCAATGCAACTGGTATAATCGGTAAAGATGAATTTTGGGCAGCATTACAAACAAATTATAATTATATTATGGACACGAACTTATTGGATACATGTAGAGAAGCAAGATGTGAAATTGAAGGTACAGCAGCACTACATATAAATCCCATTGATTGTTGTGGAAAGGTGAGTTTTGATTTGATTTTTTAAATTTCCCAATATTAAAAAATTTCCTATTCCTAATTTTCTATTTAGCAAAGTCTACTACTATTAATATAAATTCTAATTATTTGGTAGGAATATTTGGTAGGAATGATTGATATACGTATAAAAATTTACTTATTGAAAGAAAAATAAAATAAAACTTCTTATTTAATACACAAACCCATTTTCTTTTTCAAATTTCAAGTTTTGTGGTCATGTAGTTTGTTATTAAAATGGAACAGTAAACCACAAAACATTGTTATAACTAGTTATCGTTGCACTAGAAATGGTTTGAATGAAAAAAAAATATTTTGAATAAGCAGCAAGAAGCATTTGTAGTCGAATTGAAAATACGAAATTTGCTTTGAAGCTTTTTCTTAACGATGGAATAAAAGCTTACATTGTAGAATTTAGCGTACATATTATTATTTGATATGCTAAATATTTGACCAAATTGTTATCAACATACTCGTTGAAAATGCACAGCCGGAATAAAGTTAAATGATAGTCGTTATCTTTTTCCGCCAATGGATGGAAATGCTAATGAGAAACTGTTATTTTTACTAAAATTTCGAAATTTTCATTCCACATTTTCATGCAAAATTCTAAACTTGAAATTTTAACAATTTTACATTAGCCGCCGTCAGAGTTTAATACTTCAGTAAAACAAATCTTCAGAAATACTGAAATTTTTATCTTTTTCGGAACGGAAAAAGATTAGGAAAAAAAATTAGGTAAATAAAAATTTCGTTATAATCTCTGTATTTCGGAAACCGTTAAGATTTAACACCCAGTTCTGAACTGAAATTTTACTTATTTATGGTATCCTAGACGATGCTTTTTTAACTAATTGGAAACATTATTCATAAAGAAGTTAATTGAAAATGCGTATAAATTACAAATTTAAAACTAATTTCTTTAATAAAAATTATTCATTGGATTTACTTACATATGGGGGGTGTACAAATGCAGTGCTTTTAAAATTAGACCATTTTCTTAACTAAACGTTTTGGCAAATATTTTTACGAATTGTATTTTTATACAATTTCGCAACTACAATGTATATGATGAGACTTATTCCTAAAAGTGAATCAGTAAGAGATAAAAATTTTTGTAATATAATAATTTTTTATAGAAATAAATAATTTTTGTCAATGAAATTGAGTTTATGATGAAAAATGAGTTAAATATGACTTAGTGATTCACTTCGTTACTACTCAGATTTTTTCTATTCAAGATTTCTTCCGTAACATTCAATACTTACTTAGAAGCAAAAAATTTTTTCAACTACCCTTAGATGCGTGATATTCGATTTATTCCACATTTTAATTTTAAAATAATAACAATAATATCTTTATACATATAGCTGCACATACATAAGTTTAACAAATAAATAATTGTTTTTCAGATGTTGCAATCGCAAAAAACTGAAGCAATATCGGAGGATCCACGAGAGTTACGAAAATGGTTACGCGATATGGAAAATAAACTTTCAACAGCTCCTTCATTACTTGAAGCAACACAGTTGAGTATTGATGAATTACAGAGGCGTTTGAATGATCATTCGGTAAGTGATTTATTTATGTCTTTTGAATTAATTTACTTTTTTCTAGTAATTTAATATTATAAACTATGCATATTTATATTATAAGATTTTGATTAGTCCTTCATTAGAAATTTTTTAAAATTTAATTTTCATTTTTCGTTTTCCTCGACTTTTATACCAATAAAAATGCAATCAAGGTTTTGACAAGTTCTAATGCAATAAATATGAAACTTTTAAATTAATTTGATCATACCTATAAAACAGGAATGGCTATACAGTTTTAAAATTTTCTACAAACCAGTATGATAAAAGCAATTATTTCGATAAAATATATGGTTTTGTTAGCGTCTTACAACTACAAAATTAATATCGTCATTGCTTTAATGCGAAATTATTCTGCAAAATAATGTGAGTAACGACAGTATGAATCTTCTTTATCAATTGTCGTATAACTTTTGAAAAACTCTTAAACGGGTAAAGTAGAGTTGACACAGTGAAATTTATCTTCTCTGGTTTTTAAAATAATTTGTTAAATGAGTGTGTATAATTTTCATGGACAATATAGCAAAAGAGAAATGTATGTCTTCCTTTAAAAAGCAATTAGGCGTCTCCCAAAATGCAGATCTAACGTCAAGTTAAGTTATTCAGTAATACTGTTGAAATCACTGAATAAGTCAACTTGATGTTAGATCTGCATTTTAGTAGACTCCACTTGACTCTTTTATCTTAAAAGATTTTATATAACTTCTTTTAAATTTCAATATATTGTTTTCAATGTATTAAGAAAAATTTTGAGATCACCTTTAGAAATTGGAAATTTTTAACAAGTTTTTCTAATGTACTATGAAAATTATAAAAATTATCTTTTTTGTCAATTTGCTTTATACTTTTGATTTATAATTCCCAAAAATTTAATCATGATATACTCATTGTAAATTATTTTTAAATTGAAAGTGAAATTTAATATTAGACTTTTTACCTTCAAGGTACGTAATAATTTATTTCAATTAAATTTGTTAAAAAAATATGTATTTTTTTTTCTTTTATTGCTCAATTTTGTTCCAAAGTATAAAAAAATGGAAACAAAAAGGTATGAGGTATAAATAATTCATCATTATTTAAATGTCAATTAAATTAATGATCGAATTCGTAGTATAATTTAAATTTCAGCTTTAAATTTATTAATGAAATTAATAATCGATTATATAAAGAGTATTAACCGCATTCAACAAATTATAATGTAATTCGCATAACAGTGTAACAAAAATATTATTGTATTACGTACATACAACATATTTATTGATCTACTCAAGGTATAGATATATGTACATTTATAATTGCACATAAACATAAAACGCATATGTGTTTATGAGTTTTACTATGTTATTAACGTTACTATTAACAATACACAAAAGGGATCCTATCGACCAAAAAAATATTTATAGGGTGCTTTAAAAGACAAAGTTTGGTCTGCAAAATGATCTTGAAAAATGATTTTGATAGGTTCGCTTTTTGGAGTCCTTTTTGCAGGCGTAATTCTTCGCTTGTAAATTTTGATTATAGACTTAGGGGACAGGTTTTACTCGATTTTAGGGACCACCTTAATTTGATAAATAATAGGGTGAGTTCTACTATCTAGATCTCTGAATTTTTTCATAAAGCGGGTTAGGGAATAGATCGAACTGTGCGAAGGCTTGAAGCTCGCTTTATAGCTTTAAGAAGTATCTTTTGGAACTAATGTTGCTTTGTCATCCTAGGGTTGTTTCTGAAATAGTGTTCATTCATCAGCTTGTTGCAGGTAACGTGCTTGACCCAGTTTTATTGGGCTGACTTTCTCTCAGTGAGAATCACAGTAACTTAAGGTCGGTGGAGTTTTTTAATATTTCGCGTCATAATACGGACCAGGAAATGCATTTGCTAATAACTTGTATTTGTCAGTTTTTTGTCCAAAAGGGTGCTTTTACCAAAATCTACGGTATCATTGATTTTGTTTAATTATCTTTTTAGTTTACTTGACGCTTTATTCATACTATTAACCCGCCGTGCAGTAGTTGTATACCTTTGGTTTTGGTTGTTTTAGTTTTAAATTTATAACATATCACATTTTTTTATTAAACTAATACTACTAATATTATTTTCCCTTTTTGTTAAAAGGTAGAAATTTCAAATAAATAGTTTTCGAAAAATATAAACTAGAAATTTTTAATTTTATTTCAAGAACGTAAAGTTTTCATGCACAAAATGCTACCTTGAAAATGTTACGAAATGAAACGCTTGTTTTTTTATACGATTTAAATTTTTCATTATGGCCCGTTCGAAAATATATTCCGGTATTTTGTCGTAATCAATACAATTTTTTCCCTTTATAAGTTTTCCACTTACACATTAGACTAAATCTATGGTTTAATCTAAGATAAAATCTGACTAGCATATCCAAATAAGATTCGTTTTATAAATAAATCTTAAAAAATAAATTTCAATGTTCAAATTACAGTTTATTTGCAATTAATTATATTTGAATTGCAATTAATTGGCGTTGATCAATTGCTTTATTTGCTGGTTAAACTGTAGATTAGGCACTTAAATTTTTTACTTGCAATTGGATTAATTAATTGTTAAGAAATTTAAACTTTACTAAGATTGATAATATTTTAGTAAAATATACTTCTATATCTTTGTATATGAGAGTGTTGCGCTGGCACACCGCCCAAGCTGTTTATTTATGAAAAAATAGCTGTTAACGAGTTCAACATGCACGTTTACGCATCTTGCGTAAGTTGGCAAAAAATGTCTGCCATAACAAATTAGAAAAATTACAATACATATGTATATGACAATTGATCACATGTTAAAAGCAAAATATGAATCTGTTTACCCATGTACATGCAGGTCGTGAGTTTTCTTAATATATTACATAGATGGGGTAATACATTACATGATTTTTTATTACAAATAAAATTTATAATGATTTTTTATCATTACAGAGAAAAACAGTGGGAATTATGATTTAAACAGTAAATAAAAAATTATTTGCTGTAAATAACAAATAATTTGCTGTAATATAAAAAAATCTGATGTGATCATCACATAACCGACTGCAATGTGTATTTTCTAGTCAAGTGAAAGTGTTGCAGAATATTATAAAAATGCCTTTTAAACACTTTTTCCAATTTTTAGCGCGTCAGTAAGTTTTTTGTTAACATATCTAGAAAAATGTATATTTGGCTCTTAGTACAGTTTCGTGTTTTGCCATCCGTATTCCCATAAATGTTCGTCAGTTAGTTTTGGTAACAACCAAAACTCAAATATCAAATTTAAATAAATTCCATCAATTACTCGATAGATATGATAAAAAATGTAAATTCGGCCCCTAGTTCGGTTTTCGACCCCCTGATCGTTCCAAAAAAATTTATATGTGCATTGCTTTAACACTTTAAATTTAAATAATTAATTTCAAGGAAATTGGTTGATTATTTCTCTTTATATATGAACCAAAATCTAAAATTGGCCCGCAAAAAGTCCAGTTCCCAAGCCCTGATATGGTGGTCAATTCGTGACATAGCCAAAACAAACTCATATATAAAATTTCATGAAAATAAGTTCAGCCGAACTTGAGTTACACGCGTGGACACACAAACAGACAGACCGACAGGCTGCTAAAATAGTTGATTTACACTTTCCTACCATAGAGAAGTGCGTTTCCATCGAAAACTCGATATGCAAAATTTGCTGCTATCACATAAGCTACCTTATTGTACATTATATAATGCGATCGGTAAAAAATTGAAAATACACTGCTTTTCAGTTATTGTTTAAATGTCTATAACTTTAAAGCAAAGAGCATTATAGTTAATGTGAGATTATTATAGTAATATATTTCCCTATAATTGATTATTATAGTAATATATTTCCCTTGAACCAGTGAACACTTTTTAAATAAATTTGGATTAGACTAATGTTAAAAATCCGATTTTTTGAAAAAACATTGAATCATTCTGCTTAAATTAATATGCAAAAGACACATTAATATATGTACAAATTATTATTTTATATTATTTGTACCTTATTTATTATATTTCGGTCCTTTAACCGAAGGGTTTCGAATTCAAACCCAGGTCAGGTCACTATAAAAATTATATTCAATATTATATAACTTAATATACAACATTAATAAATATTACACAAGTAATTTTCAAATATTCATAACATTCGATATTAAAAACTAAGAAAAATAAACAGTGAATATTAATAAACTTAAATATTATAGAATAAAAAAAACTGCGGCAGGCTAGTCATCTACCTACTTAACTCTATGACGCTATGAAACTAAGGTATGATATCATGCACTAGCTATATGCTCCTCCTAGGAGTAAAGAAGAAAAAAAAATTATTTTATGCGAAAATTGAAAGAAACCTTAAACAATTGGTAAATTCGACGATTACGTAAGTGAGCAATTGTATTTTGTGTTGCATGTTTGAACCGCTCGTTTAACATTAGCATTTTACTTTTTTCCAGTGTTTGAATATTTGTTTTAGAAACGCTTTGTTTTTTTTTCATGAATTCCGCAGTATGGTATATTTTTTATTTTAGTAAATATGGTACTAAATAATTTCATAGATGATTCTTTGATCGAATTCCAGCAAAAAATTGTTTGGGGGTGCATTTATACCCGTTTTTGAGCTACAGGTTGTTAAAAAAAATGGTACCAAATTTTTCCTGCATATAATTAAATGCTTAAACAGGCGATTAAACTTCGGAACCATGTAAAGTAACCATCGAAGCTAGTTTCACAGGGGACTGATTACTCCTTATTTTCGGTCTTACAATCAATTACAATCAAATACAGATTTGAGCCATAGTTTTCGAGATAAAGCTCGTCAAAGTTACAATTTTTTTTTCAATGATTTTTAAAATACTCGAAATTTCTCGAGAATTTATGTTAATTATTTTTTTTTTTTCAATGACATCTAAAAGTTAACCCATATAACATTTTCCTCTCTCTATCATAGTTTTGAAAGTA